TAAAATAAATAAATAATATAAAATAAATAGTAAATAATATAAATAAAATAAATAAATAATATAAATAAAATAAATAGTAAATAATATAAATAAAATAAATAGTAAATAATATAAATAGAATAAATAGTAAATAATATAAATGAAATAAATAGTAAATAATATAAATAAAATAAATAGTAAATAATATAAATAAAATAAATATTAAATAATTTAAGCAATTCCAAGATTTAAAAAATATTACAATTAGTGCTTATGCCACTTAAATTATGTCCTATTCATGTTTAAACTTATAAACAAAAGTTAGCAAGCACAGGTTACTTAATTTCTACTTGCTATGACGCCTAACAGGTTTAAATTTTTAAAAGATATCATTATGAAAGTATTGCAATATCCGAGCAGAATTAGTACCGAATTTCCAGTACAATAATGCAACTGAAATGTTTACTTTTTTATCAAAGAATATCGTAAATAAATTATATTTACTACATCGTAAAATGTCGTATCGCTAACGTTACTTACTTTGCATCGAATGTCGAATCCAAAATTGTACTTAATTTGCATAGAATGACGAATTCAAAATTATACTTATTTTGATGTACAGAATTGTAACAGCAAATTCACTGTACGATATTATAGGAAAAAATTCGTAATATATTTCTTGAAATTCATATTTGATTATAACCAATCATTATGATATTCATAGTTTTGTATCTAATGTGCATATGAGTGAGCAAACCATTAGGGATCGATCGAATTTGCCAAAATTCGACGGGAAAAACCACTGCAGCATTTTCTAAAAAACAAAAGATATATATAGGGGAGAGTCGGGTAGCCCCGCCCACTTACGGAGTATTCCTTATATTTCTGTATAATATTGAGTAATAATCAATATTTTTGCATGTTTCTATTATTTTATCATCTAATTAAATAATGCAAAAAGAATGAACCAAAAAGAATAGTTTAACTTAAAAAAATAGTAATTTAAAAAAACTTGTTTTTCAGCTCTTTTCAAAATGTGTCGAGTAGCCCCGCCCAGTTACAAAAATTACGTTTTTTTACTGTTTTTTCAAGTGTAAATGAAAATGACCAATGTATTGACAATAGATAAACCTCATTTATCATTTTTATCACAAAATTATTTTATTTATTACATATTTATATACTTTTAGTGAATTTTATCATTTAATAGCAATCATTTAATAACAACAATATTTGTTTTTAAAAATGCATATAACATTCAAATTTGAAGCAATAAAATAATAGTCTTCGTAACCGTACATTTATCGACGAAATAAAATTGGGCGGTGATACCCGACATTCATGTGAGCGGAGCTACCCGAAATCCAATTTTTTTGTAAATTTGTAATTACTCGAACAATTTTTCTCATATAAACTTCTTTTTTTGTGCAAATTAACTTAAGACTACATACTTTAATGCTGTATGTATAGAAAAAATTATTTTTTTATTATTAAAGTGAAGTTTAATCGAAACATTTAGCCAATTTTTCTTAATTTCATGACTACTGTATTCAACATATTTTCAAAACTATTGTTTACCATGTTACCAGCTGCATAAATACTTGAAACTTTGAAAATAATCTTTTTTTAATATAACAATTAATGTCCGATAGCCAATTGACTTGAAAAAATATTCTATACATATGAAATTGTATAGACACTCCCCTATATATGTTAACAAATCAGCCAAATCTAGAAAGAGTGTCCTAACATATAATAGAATGGAACCAAGACAATGCCAGTTGTAAAAATAAGTAAGCTCTAATTGATATTATCTTGAACTACGATTGTTTCTAGACAATATTTTCAGAAAAAAATATTTATTAAACATAACAGAGTATTCACTCATATTTGACTGAAAGTATTGCACTTCACTGATCAAATTTAAAAACACAAACATCATCCATGCTCGCACTTAAGCCATTCGAAAGCCTCTGTTTTCTCGCTGTCGCCTTCAAACAATCTTCACATGCATTTTAAATTATTTCTGGTTGAGTTCACCGTCTCCTTTTACTGCAATACGAGCGATGCATACAGGGAACTATCGCATATCAGACGCCTTTCTTTTACTAGGTTCTCAGCCAAACGTAAATTTTAATTATTTTATTTTAAAAATGCAGATCGGAAATTCTACTTATTTATTCAAACAATATCGTAACGGAATAATTTCGTATTTTTAAAGATTCTTATTATTCGTCATAATTAAATAATATTAGATTCACAATGTATGATTCACTAAAATATAGATTCTCAAAAGAGAGCCCCCTTTTCTTAGTTTTTAATAATTTTTAAATTTTATCACGAAGCAGCCTACTCTATATGGTGATGCGTTATAAATGAAAAAAATATATTTTAAGTAAGTTAATTTAGCTTAAATCTAAATCTGGTTAAAATTTCATTAACGAAGACACGAGGTTTTTAATAAAAAAATAAAAAATAAATGTTTATGAAATAGGTAGTTCAATGCTTATTCGGAAAGCAATAATGTATTGCGAGTAAGCAAAAACATTCTACTTCATTGCTTATTTTAGCAATATTAGAGAAATATATCATACCTCTCCCTTCGGCTTGAAACTTTCTTCGACTTAGATCAATATTGCGCAAGCTCTGGATATCAAAAAATCTTTTTATGTTTGCGCAAATTCATGTAGTTAAACGGAAGAAAGAAGTAAATTAGAGGGAGCAAAGTTTAAAATTATATTTCTCCTCTTTCAGTTCGACCCTTTGACTTTCTTCTCACTGTTCTTCGATATTTCCATACTAAATCTGGTTTGAGTTAACAGATTACATGCAGGTAACTTCCGAAGGAATTTTGCTAAAAATGTAATTCACCTTTTATATATTTAGATATAAAGAAAATTTTGGCAAAATTAATAATTGGCAAAGATGAATTATAATTGGCAAAATTTAATAGTTGACAAAGATGCCCCAAACTTGTTACTTCAGCTACTAATTCAATTTAATTCTTTTTTTTCTTCCATTATTAAATACATATCTTCTGAATCATGTATATTAATAGTAATAACGAATAAGTTAGAATATTGTCACTTAATTCGGAAAAAAAATTGTTTTGGTTCAGTATTCAGTGTAAAATTGTTTAAATTTTTTTTAAGTAATATGTTCATTAACACTAGAAAGACGACTGGGGCCATTTTGGCCCCTCTTGTCTTTTATTACTCCGTACTATTATTACTCCGTTACTATTTAAAAATTAACTTACTGAAATAATTTAGTATTTCTGACTTCGTATGAATTGATCCTATTTAAGTGCCCATTTCATTATTCATGCCTTAGCGTAAGTATAGGAATATATATATATATATAGCAAAAGAATTTCACATATATTCAGCTATTGTTTATCGAGAAAAGGAAACTCTATTATCTAAGAAAGTAATGGTTAAGCATAATTGAAATTTCAGTGATCTGTTTAATCAGATATCCCTCGTTAATCAAATCGAATAAAATACTATTTTCGATGACTGAGTCTCTAATATATTTCTTTTTAAATTGATTATGATTATATATTAAGATTTTGCATTTCTAATTGATCTATGTACAAACAATCTGGGAGGGGCCAGACTAGCCCCTTCTGACCTTCTAAGTATGCAACAATGCTCAGTCTCTTTAATGGGTAGCATCGGTATATAATTTTACGAAGATATACATCTGTCTAATTTCTACAATCTATAAAAATAAATTTTAAAAGTTATTGAAATAAAAATAAAGTTAAGAAAGTTTTGAAAGTAAACAAAACATCACTTAGTTCTTAACACTACGAAGTTATACTTTCTATGGACATGTTTTTTCATTTCTTCTTTTTTCATTTTTTTAAACAAACTCTAGTACCAAGGCAGTTTTTCTTCTTGCTTTGCTCCCACACAAACTTCAGTATTAAGTAATTATTTTCACTGAGTCTCTGGAAAGTCTAGAGATTCAGAAATTAATCTGGAGTCGAAACTGAAGAGATAATCAAAAGAGTGAGTGTAGTTTCCTTTAATTTCAGGAAAAGAGCTCATTTATTCCCTTTCCTACTGAATCGATGGCAATAAGCTTCTGAGAAAGTAAACTAGATAAGAATCTTTAAATTCAATGAGAGTTAAGACTAGTTTATTTCTGTCTTTAAAACTCAACTTGAGACGGAAATTGTTTGCGTGTTCAATTTAATTCAAAATACGATCAAAGTTTTAAGTGTTAAGAAAATAAAACTTTTATAAAGTTTATATTCATTTCATTTGAAATTAAATAATATATGTGATTTTTTTAGACATTTACGAATATTTTCCGAGCATGAAAAATAAATGACATCAACACAGAACTACTGTGGTTTGAAACTGGAACAATTTTCTAATTCTATTCTTAATAATATGACTCTCAAATATAAGAAGAAAATGCTTTCGCAACTAAAACCTCATTGCAGTACATTGTGGGAGATCGTTATATAGAATGAAGACTAGATGATCGAAACTATTATTACGAAATAAGCTAACAAAGCTGTATGGTGGTTAAGGAGTTAAGCTTCATGCCAGGAAGATTCCGCTTCTATCTGTCTTTCTTGCGTTTCTGGGATGACAGAGTTTCACCTACGCTTTGACTCTATCAACAATAGATGATTACATCCGTCAATCATCCATGAGATACAAAAAAAAGTAGATTTATGAAACATTTATTTACTTTTGACGAAACTCGTCTCCATAAAAAAGTGATGATAATCATTTCGTCACTTTAATGAACTGTTCTCTTGGAGCATATACCAGGAAACGGTTTCGTCAAAAATGAAGATTCAGGAAATTTGAGTATTCATTTTTACAGTGTAACTATTAAGCTGTAGTTATGAGTTTTCAATGCATTTCAATAGCATAAATAGGGGGAAAATATTGCCAAAATATTCGAAAAGCTTCCAGATATTTTTTTGTTATTTTATTTTTCAATATAATTTCGCTCTACTTTATTTAAAAAAATTTTGGAGAAAATCGAACACTTACCAGTGTTTAGTTGAATATTTTCGGGTATCTTAACACTGTCGTTTAACGGTGGAGGATATCGATTTGAAAACAATATTTCAGGAGGCGGAAGCATATGGCCGTCACCTAAAAATATAAATGACGATATCAAAATATGTTTTTTCAGTTAAAAAAATTTTTCTGAATTAATTCTAACTATTTTAAAATTGAGTGCATGTTTAATAAAAATTAATTTTTTGTATGAGATTTCATTTTTATGTTAAATTAAGACATACTGGGAGGGCATGTCGTATCATGTAATATGTAGCATAATACATGAAAATTCGATTATTACTTTATAAATAGATTAGGCTGTTACACTGTAAAAACTATGGTGTGAAATTTCCCCGAATTTTATACTGAAAAACCCTAAAAGTTGTGTAAAGTTACACATTTTTTCAAGTTGAAACCAAATCGAACACCTTATGCACCTTATACAATTTAAAAGGTGTATGAAAGTTCTAAACATAAAAAATATTAAAAGTTTACACCAAGATCACTTGCCTTTACACCAAATTTTCAATATTTTCGCATCCGAAAACTTCAGAACCTGGCAAGTTCCTCCTATAATTATTTACTATCAACACCGAGGGGCGATATTTGCTGATGCCTTCAATATTGCTTTTCATCTGCAGAAACTAAAGTTCACCGTTCAAAAATATGCATGTATGTTTTTAGTTGTGTAATAAGAATAATTATATTTTAATTTTCAAGTCCCTGTAAACCGTATTAAATAATTTTATAATGTATAATTTCTGTCCTCTCCTGCTTAGTTATGCCTAGTTTGAATTTATCTTAATATTCGTGCTGCCACGTGTACGTTTCATTTGCAAACTCATTTTATAAAAGGAATTAGTGCATGCATGCAACTTAAATTACAGACTCTTATTTTATATTGTTTCGTAAAAATAACTTTAATGATTCTTATGTGTATCATAGTTTACTGTAATTATGAATTTTAGAGTTACTAAGTAACGAACATATTGGTAGGTGGCTGTTACTTTGAGCATCAAGAAGTGTAAAATAACATTTTAGGTGTTTCACAGCATCAGGAACTATTCTTTAATTTTAGTGTAGGGGAACGCCACTTTGGTGTAAAGTAGTTGTCATCTTTTTTGGTGTTCTAATACAGGAAAATATTTTATATTGTAGGTATTAATTTGCCAATTGTAATTATCAGAAGTTCACAAAACGTATTTTTTTTTATTTTAAAGTGACTAAGTTTAATAATAAGTAAATAGAATTATTAAAAAAAGCCGAAAATCTTTTATAATAAAATTTTAAGGCTATATTTAAAAAAAATTAAAAAATTAAAAATTTGTTTGTGTTATACTTTTACAAAAATACCTAAACCATAGAGATTCGAGAAAGCGATGAAAAAATTATTTGCAAATTCTTAAGCTTACTTACTTAAAAACAAAATAATTATTTAAAATAAAAATAGCTAATTTACTTAAAATAAAAATAACCAAAAATCCAATTTAATGAAAATCTTTAAGTTTAAATCAAAACACTCTTGGCATTGTGTGTTTAGGGTATAGAGTAAAATGAGAAAAAAGTGACATGGAAAATTCAAAATAATTTTTTTTTTAAAATAAGCTAACTATTTAAAATAGAAATATCTTTTATACTTAAAATTAAAATAACCAAAAAATATTTTAATAAAAATCTATAAAGCAAAACCAAAATTCCTTAAACATTGCGTGTTATATTACTTGATTTAAAGGTTCATTCTCTTCAAAAGTATATAAATAGAAAATAACAATCTGCGTGCCTCAAGCGCTCAAAAACAGGAGCACATTTTCAAGTCTTGCCAAGAGAAGAAGAAAAAGAGAGCTGAAATAAAAGAGTAAAGTTGCCAACAAGAAATGGAAAAATACAGATAAGAAACGAAACTAGAAAGGCCACAGTAGCCGAGAGAGAAAGAGATGAAAAACAGAGCAAGAAAAATCACAGTGGTCGAGAGGGGAAAATGCATCTCCAAGCGCTATGGACAGTTTGTGAGGAACTAATGTCGTTAACAAAGGAATTAGCACTCATATGAATAAAACAAGATTCCAGGGTATCAAAATGAGCAGATGCGTCTGGAGTGGAAATAATTTTGGGTTTGTCGAAATTGAATTCATGCCCAAGATTCGAACAATGTGTAGCAATTGATGATTTCTGGCATTCTTGATAATGGACATATATATTATGTTCCTTGAGTCTAAATTTTAAAGCACGTTTAGTTTGTCCAATGTAGCCACGGTTGCATTGGCTTTATTCAATTACGTCATACTTACACAAATATACCTAAAACAAGTCTGTAAAATGATAAAAAAATTATCATGTAAATTTTAAAACTACTTTACAGATAACCGTGAACTTTTCCAATCTTTTTTTTCATTCATTTCAAGTTCATTCATTATTTCAAGTTCATTTAGTTGCATCCTTATAATCAGTTCAGTTACAAGCATCTGATATCAAAAGAGAATTTATGGATTAAAAAATTTACTGCAATAATGAATTTCATTGTCACAAAGAAAAATTTCTTCTGCTTTAATATTCCTTATCGATAATTACTTTACAATGCGATATATTTACTGAATTGTTTTTGTTTGCAATTTTCAAATAATCCTTTTTTTCTTTTCACTAACAGAATCTGAAAACTTGTAGTGATGCTTATTTAAAATAAACTCTTAACAAAACAAGAGCATTTGAAACCCGTTATAAAACAATTTTGTAACTATACCTCACAGAGAAAAAAATTCTGATACAATTACTGTACAGTATGATAATGAAATTTCCAGTAAAATAAAACATACTTCTGGTTAATAAAACCTAAACATATGGAACTTTAAGCTATTCATTTGGTAATTTTTCCGTTCATATGAGTAAAGGTTTAACGAAAATTCTGGTTTTCAAAATTATCGGTCTTATTACCGCATATTTAATAAGAAGCACAAAACTGAAAAATAAATTTTACCAAATAAATGGTTTTCGTGCCATACTCTATGGAATTGCGATAAAATTTTATCACAATTATAAAATTGTACCCCTTATTATAAATCCATATTTTATAGTTAATTTTACTAAAACTATTATTAAAGTGCTTCCGTAAAAATTTTTTGGTGTGTCCATAGGGACACGATAAATTTCATCATATTCCGGTCGTTTGACCATAATTGTTTTCCGATTGTGGAACATGCAGGAACATGTCATAAAAAAATTTCATGTCTTACATTCTAAATTTTTTCGTCTAAAAGAAACATTAAGTCTTACTTTAAAAACAAATGTTAAAAGTGCAAAACGCAGGAAAAATAAACTTTCAGATTATTTAAACAAAATGATTGTAGTGACTTCAAACCTACTAGATACCAACCTCTTAAAGCTTTTTTAAAAGTTTTAATATAAAATTCTTCAGTTTCGTTAGAAAAATCTTTTGCTCAGTTTTTGTTTTAATTCCAATATAATTAAATTACTTTATTTAAATGATTTTGATTGCTTTCAATGTTAAAATAATTTAAAAGTTAAAAATATATTTATAAGAGATATGAATGTTATGTTTTAAAGGTTATGAAGAAAATTGTCGTCGTTTGTCATAAAAAATATATAAAATATAACCAGATCTTTCATGCGAATAAAAACATTTTAATTAAAAGATTTTAAAAACACAAGTAAATATTTCAGTTTTTGAATAAATTAATTTGAACTTCTCAGAGGCAAAAGATTATTGCAAAGATATTTTATTAAATCAAACTATTATCATGCATAACTATGAATTATATGTAATCAAATGAACTTAGTAAATTCTTAAAATAAATTTAAGAGTCTGATTTAAACACAATTCAAACTATGAACTAGAACATTTGATGAATTAAGTAAAAGTGAAAACCTTTTACTGTTGAGTAAATACATTGCCTAATTGTTTTTTTTTTTGTCTAGGAGAAATGTAGGTTTAATTAGTATTATCGGATAGTTTTTATTATTGGCTCTTAACTATTACAATTGACCAAAAATAAATTGCAACAGGAACCGAAGTAATCATTTTTAAGGCAGGAGGGTTCTGATAAATAATATTTTTACTATACATTAGAAATTAAAAACTGAGAAAGAAAAATGTAAAAACACTAAGCAAAACACTCTGAAGAAATGAAGCTTCTAAAACTATCAATGGTTCTAAAACTATAAATGGCTATTAGTTAAATGATTAGAAAACTAAAAACATCCTTTAGGTTTTTTTTAAATTAGAATTCTCAAAGTTTTTTTAATTTGTCTTTCAAAAATTACAGCATTAAAATTTGATTAAAAGAGCAGATAAAATGCATCATTATTTGAAATATTTTCTAAGTTTGTCAAAAAATAACAATTTTTAACAATAAAATTCAGAAAAAAGTAACCCTTTTAATCAAGTAGCTTGCTCCATGCAAATTTTAATGGGTCATAAAATTTAAAACAGTCATTGGAAAATTCAAATGTCTAACACAAATTTTTAAAAAAACTGCTCTTGCAATTTGAATGCAATACGAGCAATATAAACGAAAAAATATGAGAAGGGTGCGACAGACATTTTGCAATCGGAAAAATATTACTTAGCTTACGTCTTACGTTATGCAAATGTTTATTAACTATAAACGTACGTACATGCACAAAAAATTTTAAGATTTTAAATAAATTAAAATAAATTAAAAAATAAATAGCTGATTGAATTACGTTAAATTTTTCAGTAAACAAGCTTTATTTTTGGCAATTACATTTTAGATTTGACCCCTTAGTTGTAGATATATGCGATAAACAGAAAAACCAAAAATAACATTCAAAATATCAAACTTTCTAGCACCTTATAAAAACTAATAGGAGTAAGATTAACCCAGAAATGATGCAAAATCAGTTTGCTATTCATATTTGTTTTACATCCAATCATTGAACCAGATGGAGAGTTTTTTCAAGCCCATTATTTTAACCTTCCGAGGAACAAAAAATTTGGACGAAAATTTTAGTCAAGAAACCATAAAGATTTTCATAATATGCTTTTCTCTACATGTTGCAAAATTTAAAGCGATTGATAAGAAAAAACAGCAAATTATTCATTTTATAAGATAAGAACT